AGTTCAGTAGTATGGATTAGTAGGGAGTCTTATCTTATCTTATCAGTTCACTAGGATAGATTAAGAGAGTCTTATCTTATCTTATCTTATCAGTTCAATAGGATAGATTAGTAGGGAGTCTTCCTAAAAGTAGGACTCTTATCTCTTGTAATCTCCTATTTAAGGAGCTGAGAATATTGAATAAAACCATCAAAAATTTCGGTCAAGAAAAGAGTGAGGAGAGTTGGTGATCTCTTGAACAAATCACCATTAAAACACCAAAATAGGTTCCTCAAGAAAAAGGAGGAACAAGGGAAAACAGGAGGTTTTCCCCGTGGACCGACCCGTGACGAGATCCTATTCTCGGGCCCATAACACTCATCGTCCTCTTTTTAATCCCAAGTTGTACCAATGGTAAAGAACCAAAAGTGAGCAGACTATTTCCCCTACACCACATGAGCCTCCTGCACTTCCAATCACAGAAGAGACAACAGGTACTGATATAGCCCCTTGGGAGTCATCATCCAAACCTTGATATCCCTATTGCTATTAGGAAAGGAAAAAGGAAGTGTACTGCACATTGCATTTCCAAACACCTTTCTTATAGTTTGCTCTCTCCTTCATATTTTGGCTACATTTCTTCTGTTGCTTCTAACCAAATTCCCAGGTCTGTGTCTGAAGCTCTTACTATTCCAGAATGGAGGGATGCAATGAGAACAGAAATCGATGCCCTACACAAGAATGACACTTGGGAAGTGGTTGATTTAGCTTAAGGGAATGATCCAGTAGGCTGTAAGTGGATTTTTACCATCAAATATCATGTTGACAACACCATTAAAAGGCACAAGGCTAGGCTAGTTACAAACACAGATATATGGGATTGATTATCTGGAGACCTTTGCTCCTGTTGCCAAGATGACTTTTATGAGAGTTCTGTTATCTCTGGTTGCACACTCAGACTGGCCACTTTATCAGCTGGATGTAAAGAATGCATTTCTGAATGGAGAGTTACATGAGGAGGTCTATATGTCTCTTCCTCTAAGGATGTATGAAACAGATATGAAAGGGAAGGTCTACAGGTAGAAGAAATCTCTTTATGACTTAAACAGTCCCCTAAGGCATGGTTTGAAAGGTTTAGGGCTGCCCTTGTTAGCTTTGGTTATGTATAGACTCGGTCTGATCATACCCTCTTTGTAAAGAGGAGAGGATCCTTGTCTTTTTACCTCCCCTTTGTACCTAAGCTTCACATAGTTTCATATCTTTAATAAAGTTTCTTGTTATTGATATAAAAAAAAAAAGAGAGGATCCTTGGCAATTACCTGATTGTGTATGTTGATGATATTGTTGTGACTGGTAATGATCTATCAAGGATTAATGATATCAAATATTTCCTTCATACAGAGTTTGAGATCAAAGATTTGGGGGAATTGAGATACTTTCTTGGCATAGAAATTGCTAAATCCAAAGATGGGATCCTTATCTCTCAAAGAAAGTATGTACTTAACTTGCTCTCTGAAACAGGGAAGATAGGTGCTAGACCAGTTGTTACTCCTATTGATATGAGTCATAAACTCTCTRCTTCAGATGGAATATTGTTGAAAGATAAGGGAGTCTTCCAGAGGCTATTTGGAAAACTTCTCTATCTATGCATGACTCGGCCAAACATTGCATATGCTGTCAATTGCATTAATCAATTCATGCATGCTCCCAGGGACACTCACATGGTAGCAGTAGAGCGGATTCTGTGTTATTTGAAGGGTTCCCCTGGAAAGGGAATTCTATTTGCTAAGCATGGTCATATGAAACTTGAAGCCTACACAGATGCTGATTGGGCCAGAAATATTGACGACAGAAGATCTACCTCTGGAAATTGTAGCTTGGTGGCAGGTAATATTGTCTCTTGGAGAAGCAAGAAACAATCAGTTGTTGCCCGATCTTCAGCCGAAGCTGAATACAGAGCCATGGCTCATTGAGTTTCTGAACTACTGTGGCTTAGATCCTTGATGGAGGAACTAGGTATTGAGCGTGATAAGCCATTGATGTTATACTGTGATAATCAGGTTGCCATCAACATTGCTCACAATCCAATGCAACATGACAGAACCAAACATATTGAAGTTGACAGACACTTCATTCAAGAAAGAGTGGCTTCTGAAGGACAAATAGCTGATTTCTCACCAAGGGCATTCCCAAGGCTAAACTTCTGCATGATACTGGCAAGATTGGCATGATTGACATCCATGCTCAGCTTGAGGGGGAGTGTAGAGAAGATGGGCCGAATGGCCCATAGGCTGTTTATCTTTTTTATCCTTTATGTTCTTTGCTGTAATGGGCCTTAATTTGGGCTCTTATTCTTTCTTATGTTATGTTTTTAATTTTCTGCCCAACTAGGGGCCTCTCTGTAAATTACTAAAGTTTAACTTAATGAAATGGAATTAGGGGTGTAAGAGGAGATTATGTTCGAAAATCTCTCTCTGAACCCTAGTTGCCGCCACCTTCTTCTTCCTCTTCTCTCTTCTTTAAACCTAATTTCTGCTACTTTCTTTTGATTTCCTGCAAATTTTTAAACAATCCTTTCTTTTCAAAAGGCTATTTTTTCTTCTGTGGCAATCTGCAACTAAAGTAAATATGCTTATACTGTGGGCACTTTTGTTTTGGTTAGATGTTAAGTTTGTTTTATTTTCACCATGGTTTAAAATGTCACGAAATGTCGAGAATGTCGCCCGACATATGTCGGTGTCGAGACCTAGCGACATAAATTTTACATGAATTAAAAAAAATACAATATGTTGGTCGATATTTCAACCATTTTGGCAAATGTCAACCATATCATTCCAAAAAACAAAAAAAATATATAATATATCGAAATATTTCCAAGTATATGTCGACAACTCAACATATATTTGAACTACAAACATCTCATATCAAACAAAAAGAGACGTTAAAGGGGAAAAAGAAGAGGGTTTTTTGATAAAAAAAAAATGAAGAGGGTTTTACGTTTTAGCTTGTGTACCTAGAGCTGGAGTACAACTTCAGGATCTAGCACAAGAGTGGTCATGCGCTGAAATATCTTTTTCTTGGAAGCAGAACGTTCAGCTTATGAAACTTTGAAGAAATTTCTCTCATCTTGATTCAGATATGCAATAACTCTATTTCTCTCTCACAGTGAATAACCATGAAAAACCTAGGAAAAAAGGAAAGAGAGAGAGAGGGTCGCAGAAGGTGTGAACTCAAGGTCAAGAAGGAGGAGAATGCTCTTCGTCATCTTCTATTTTTTTCTTGAAGGGCTTCATTGAGTGTTGGTTTGCTGCTCACTGGTTGCAGACACACTGCGCGTCTCTTCGAGATTTGAGGAAGCTGAAGTTCATTCGAATGAAATTGAAACCTCAGCCTTAAGTTTATTTAAACTTTAAAGACTTGCTATAGTCCATGATGGTCTATGGAAGCCTATAGACCATCACAATAGCAAGCCCTAAAATGGAATCTTTAAAACACCTTTATATAAACATGTTACAATGCAAGAG